TTAAATCAATTTGTTACTCTCCTGATGGTACTACATTAGCATCTGGTAGTGCAGATAACTCCATCCGTTTATGGGATGTTAAGACAGGATAATAAAAAGCCAAATTAGATGGTCATTTAAGTTGTGTTAATTCAGTTTGTTACTCCCCTGATGGTACAACATTAGTATCTGGCAGTTCAGATAACTCTATCCGTTTATGGGATGTTAAGACAGGATAATAAAAAGCCAAATTAGATGGTCATTCTGGAACAGTATGGTAAGTTAATTTCTCTCCTGATGGTACTACATTAGCAACTTGTAGTTCAGATAAGTCTATTCGTTTATGGGATTTTAAGACAGGATAATTAAAAGCGAAATTAATTGGTCATTCAGATTAGATTTATTCAGTCAACTTCTCTCCTGATGGCACTACATTAGCTTCATGTAGCAATGAAGAATCTATTCGGCTATGGGATGTTAAGATAGGAGAACAAAAAGCCAAATTAGATGGTCATTCAGATTATGTTTATTCAGTCGATTTCTTTCCTGATGGTACTATTATAGCATCTGGTAGTAGAGATAACTCCATCCGTTTATGGGATGTTAAGACAGGATAATAAAAAGCCAAATTAGATGGTCATCAAGATTCAGTTAGATCAGTCAATTTCTCTCCAGATGGTAATACATTAGCATTTGGTAGTAATGATAACTCTATCCGTTTATGGGATGTAAAGACAGGATAATAAAAAGCTAAATTAAATGGTCATTCGCAAGAAGTTAAATCAGTCAATTTTTCTCCTGATGGTACAACATTAGTATCTGGCAGTTCAGATAACTCTATCCGTTTATGGGATGTTAAGAAAGGATAATAAAAAGCCAAATTAGATGGTCATTCTATGATGGTCATGTCAGTCAAGTTCTCTCCTGATGGTACTACATTAGCTTCAGGTAGTTAAGATACTTCTATCCGTTTATGGGATGTTAAGACAGGATAATAAAAAGCCAAATTAAAAGGCCATAAAGAGTCAGTTAGATCAGTCAATTTCTCTCCTGATGGTACTACATTAGCATCTGGTAGTTCAGATGAGTCTATCCGTTTATGGGATGTTAAGACAGGATAATAAAAAGCCAAATTAGATGGTCATTCT